CGCAGTGTTCCCTGATCTAGAAGGAAGCCTCGACCGAGTTGAACGCGAAGCCCTGCTGGGTTCCCTTATTCGAAAAAGAATGCCCCGGAAGCAGGTTGACGTACTGAGGTCATTGCACGCACGTCTCTGGTCGAGTAAGGGTTTACAACGAACTGAGTAGGCTGTTTTTCATCGGCAGCGGCGTTCATGAAGGGTGCCCTCTTTCGCCGTTCCTATTCAATTTCGTCATAGAGGAAATTCTGAAGAATGCACTGGGTGAATTCAAAATGGTGGGTATTGAATGGACAGCTGGAGAAAAGCTATGCGATTTGGAGTACGCCGATGATATCGTCTGTCTGTTCGAACGCACGGAGGATATGCAAAGCGCATTGATAGACTAACAAGTGCGGTTATCACATTCGGTATGTGCTTTGCACCTTCAAAATGCAATGTGATGCTGCAGAACTGGGTTTCGTCTATTCCCGGTGTTCACGCAGTCTAGCTCACGTGGGATGGAGCGAACGGGTTAGTAATCTGGAGGTAAGCTGTGATGTGATGGGGAGTTTACTATCATTATGATTATTGCTAGCACACCTAATTTATATTGGTAGGCTTCGGTGGTAGGGCACGCATTGCACATGCCCACTTGTCGTCTATCGCACCGCGCTTTATTCGCTGTAGCCGCTCTGGGTTGAAGGAAATTCCGTGAAGGTCAACAGATGATTTGGAGACGAGGCATGAAGAAATTCTCAGAGCTACTAAGTACAGTAGATTTCTCGCAGCTTCCAGGTTGGGGTCCGAAAGACTCCCTGACCGATTGGTAGGACACACTGAAGGATATAGCTGCGAACTGACAGTAGTGACGTTTTTGTTGACATCTCCAATCAGGTAAGAATGCTTGAAAATGTATGAATGCACAGTTAGGTTGTGCACTCTGTGTAGGCCAAAGAAGTTCACTTTCTTCTCCGTCCTTCAACATATGTCCAATTCCTATGCACCGTAAATTTTACCACTAATATTTTATGCATTGCGAATTTGGCAGCGATTAGTGAAGTTCGCCTCACTGTATTTCGCTGTACGATGACGATGATTATATAAATATATATACTACACGTCTGAGTTCAGTCACTATGCCAAACAGATCACGGTGCATCAATCTTCACACGAAGAAGCTCCATGATCCGTTCGTGAGCGCGATTTTGCTGGGATACCCCGAATAAAGCAGACGATTTCTTTTTGGAAATAAGCAACCGGAACCTTTGAGTGGTCAAAGCCTGATCCGCAATGCAGTGTGGCGGTGTATGAAAACCGCCATTCATCGGGGGTGTCCAGCTCATCGGATCATTCGCCCTTCGGACGGAGTCAAACCTCCAAGGTGCCCAATACACCTCAATATCCAATCGAGCCCGTAACCACTTCCACGATCAGGAAGGTGTGGGTGAGCGTGGTTCGTACGCAGCTTGTTGGTCGGTTTGGAATCATGGCTTTTAGCCAACTCCTCTCTATGAAGTGTCAGTAGTTCACTCCCTTACTGTTTATCGGTACGCTCAACGATCTAACCCAGGATAAAGGGGTACGCTCACACGACCATATGCCGTGAAGTAGGCTAGTAATCGAACTGAGTCACACCCGTTTAAAAAGAATGAGAAGCCCGTCAGGTCATGTTGTCTCTCCCTTTTTAGTGATTGAACACCGCTTCGCACTTCTAATTCTGTTGGACGCTCACACGTCACCGCCCATGGAGTTTACGCCGCAGTTGCCGGAATGACCGCATTAGCACCAGGCCAATTGAACTGTTGACTTTGCCCAGCGATCAAGCCGTTGTTCTTTATGAAGGACACTCTGTCCACGTTTATCGCAAACGGTTTCACTGACCAGTATGCGACGACCTGTCAAATGAAACAATCTTTGATTATTTCCTGATGCGAAAGTTACTTTCATTTCACTGGCTATTTTGACCCACCAGTTTTCGCGACCTTTCTTAACGCTTTTCCTGAGCTGTCATTGCAGACGCATTTTATGATCACCAAAATGTTGGTATTGAATGGACAGCTAGAAAACGCAATGCGATGATGACGACATCGTTTGTCTGTTCGAATGTACGGAGGACGGGAAAAACGCACTTCAGAGTAACAAGTTCTGATGCTCCGTTCGGTATGCGATTGGCACCTAAGTATAAAATGATGCTGCAAGACTGGGTGTCGATTAGCCCCGCGTTGAAACTAGACGGTCAAGAATTAACTGAAAATGCCTGTTTATCGTAGATACGCGATCACTGACGGTAGAGCACTAAACGGGATAACCGCTCGCATTTTTAAACCTCCAACAACGACGTGACTTTTCACCGAAGTTGAACAGTCGCTTACAGTGCGCCACTATACGATTAGTTCTGTTTTATGGTTTAGGACCTTGAATTTGTGGGTAGAAGACACCTATCACCTGGAGGTTTTCGATAATAAATGCTTACGTAGCCTGGCACAGGTGGGGAGTGAGCGGATTAGTAACCTAGATGTTAGTTTTTGGTGTTTGGGGATGTATCCGCAAGGGAGTCAGCATGCTCCTTGAAAAATGCTTTCATTTGGGAAAACCAACCAAAGCAAGGATAGCCAAACTCAGGTTATAGACCGCAATCGTTGACTAACCACAATGGTTGACAACAATCCCGTCAAGCAGTCGCTTGATATATCCATTTCCATCTGCTCTGTTCTCCATAAATAACCATACTTTTTGGAGCAATAAATGAATTTTTACACGGTTCCAGTTCTAGTTCACTACTTCCGGAATGGCAATCTGGATGAGAAACGCCATCGGAAGACAACCACATGAGAATCCAGTATCGAGACAATTCCGTGCGGGTATAACAGTTCGTATTTAAGTATTTCACACACGTCTGGTTCAGACTGTCAAATAAATCTAAATACAATGCTCTCTATAAAAAGAAAAAAGTTCCATGATTTGCCTGTGGGCGCGATACTGCCAGGTTTCCCAGGCTATAGTAGATGAATTTTCTTCGGGAATTCACAACCTTCACAGCCTTCGGCTAGCCAAAGCTTGGCCCGCACAGCAGTATCAAGGGAAAATGCGCTATAGCATCGACGTTAGCTCAATGGAATTCACTGGTATACTTAACGGCCGCCTACCGTACCGCGCCTTATTTGTAGTTGTGACTCCATACTGGGGACCACCACGAGGTCAACGGATGACATAAAGAAGAGGCACAGAGAAATGCACAGAGCGATTAGTAGAGTAGATGTCCCTCGTCTTCCGGGTTGGGGTCCGAAAGACTCCACAACTTGATGGTTGAAGACGCAGTTACAATACATCAATAAAGTAGAGCAAAGCAAAATTCGTCGATACAAACGGTCGGATTTGAACGTGCTTGATTAACAGCGCGTTGATAATTTATTTTTAATTTTTATTACACACTTTCAGTGTCATCAAGAACAGACGGGGTTAAGTCTATAGTCACGAGAACCTGCTGTTCATTGATGAAAACCGGTAACCCAACCCCGGGACTTGGAATGGCGAACCACATAAAGCTCAGATAGGTTAGGCGTGNNGACAACAGCCAAGCTGCCTACCACCAAAGTTGGGTGGCGGTGGCTGGGTTCGAACCTCGAACCACAGGGTTCAAAGCACGCCGATGACAGCCTACTAAACCACTTGAACCCCGCTGGGTCACAGAACATAATCAAATGAGAACTGCTACTATTACTAGCAGTTTGTGAATTCGTTCCTGATTGACCATCTACTTACTGATCATACCGTGCCTTACTATCAACGCGCCATAGCAAACCCACGGTGATGTTTTAGTTCGCCATGAAAATGCCATAACACAGAAGCTGTCTCTTATAAACAGACTAGAAACAAACACCGAATGAAAGAACAAGTTGAGAATAATGATACCGTGCTTACCTTACATTTCTCTTGAGCTGCTGATAACTGCTCTTTCGCATGAGCTTCGGTGGCTCGTTCAGTGGCCAAGTTTTTTTGAAACATTATGTTTTTCATCCGAGTAACTTGATTCACCAAACGAAGATAGTCCATTGCTTCATTGCGCACGCCTTCTAACTCGTCCTTTTCTTTTTCAACTGCTTTCACCCGCGTAAGCTTTTCCAAACGCAAGTCATTCAGCTTCTCAATTCGATCAGCATAGATAGTGAGTGGTTGCTTGAAACGACTGGAGCCAATGATGTCCTGGTGACAAATGAATAAAAGATAAGTTTGGAGTCTACCAGAAAGAAAAGCCTTGCGAGAAATTGATAATAATCCCTATTAAATAACGATCAAATAAAACTAAATGAAGTACTTACGTTATTCTTTAGTTAGTTCAGACTTAGTAATGCATAAATTTATGAGGGCCAACGACTTATATAAAACAACCTACCTTGACCCCATCGGTCAAAATGCTATCTTTTTAGAACGGAATCATCAAACTTTCGTTCTCGTATAAAGTTCCTCAACTACAACAGCATATAGCCTTACGAACAATGATAACAGACCAAGTGAAAATGACGCCACGTTTCCGACCGAAAGCTGAGAATAAAAAGCACAGACAGTTTAAGTGGTTTAGGAAAGAAAAACTGAAGTTCACAAAAAATTGATCCAGTTTCACATTTAATAATGTGGCAAAATATGCTACTGAGTAAATATTCATTGATCTAACACGATTAGCACTCACTCACTTCAAGGTATTCTAGAAAACCGTCTTCGTGTTCCGTTGGTGCCTTGGGCTTCATAAGAGCGATTTGTTCCACTTCCCCTTGCAGAATCAGAAACCGGTTGTGATCCAGATCAACGCCATGCCGTCGTAGTAAGTTGGCCACATCTCGATAAACGGCACGAGTGTCATCAATCCAATAGGTGCTCGAGTTATCTCGGTACGCACGACGAGATACAACAAAGGAACTATCGGGAACCACCTACGAACGGAACAGAAGTTTACAGTTTTACTTGTTCACTTCGGTTGCTGGTACGATGAGCGCCATCGAAGTCCTTTTTGTACATCTAAATGCAGTGAAGCACACTCCACTGATCGCTGCCAAGTTCATAATGCACAGAAATGTAGGTACTCAAAGTGGATGAGGAGTGGGTTTGTTTTGAAGGGGAGCGACCCATTATGGTAAACAGCCCACATTCTAGGTATGCACACGTTATCAAGTATTCCGAACCAACAATAAATGGCAAAGCAAACGCCACTATGGTCGGTTCACTGTCACGTCTGTAAGTGTTCCCAAACAACCAATTATTCCTTCGGAACCCAAACTGAAACACAGGGACACAACGTTCGTTCTGTACCTCTGCATCATCCTTTGATCTCCTAGTGATTTTCTTTACCCTAAAGTAGCAACTGCACACAATGCATGGTCCGATTGACCACTGCTAGGCTTGCGCAACGTGAGTGTTAACTCAGGCTTACTCTTCTGACTTCGATGTATCAATGAATTTCATACCAAAGTGCACCAAGTATGTAAACAACAAAGGGACATGAAACCAACGAGTAACTAAAGTTTCATTAATTCGACTCAATCTCGAAAGCAAAGGATAAGAGGGAATAAGCATTGTACGTGGGCAGTCGAGCCATCGGAGGGGTAGTCACAGCATGATCACTGGCGAGAAAGATCTGATATTGTAACCCCGAACACCTTATTGCCGGCCAAGATCCCCGCGTCTGAGCGGAACAACGCTACGTTATTTGACACAGTATAAACGAACTTAATTACTCATTACTCAACCAAAGTTAAGCGCGAGGTTTAAGATTTGAAGTTTGATGAAAAGATTGTGTGGCGACCCTGAAAACATGATAAGTGCCTTGGACTTACCGACTTGGACAAAAGCTTTTGGAAAAGTAGCAAAGGAGATAAGCCAGAGTCACAAATTAGACACAGCATGACTGCGCCGCTGGATGTGGTATAGAGCGTTTCCTTCTCTTAGAGAACGGCTGTCAGCATGCGGCATGACGACAAACCTGATGTTCCCACAAACGAGCTTGAAGACAGTGGTCGAATACATCCTCAGTGAGATGGCAGGACACTACGAGCCGTGATGACGTACAACCATCTGCTGAAGGAAGATTGGATGCTGAGTCGGTGTAGATTTATTATTGTCCTTTATGTTGCATAAACTGTTGTCATTCTGAGTGCATATTCGAAAAATTCGCTTGTCCCATTTAAACTCATGTTTGTTTGTTTTTGGTTGATTAAAGCCTATTATTAAGGCGTTGTCTTGTCTGCCGACTAAATGTGTGACCCGCTACACTACAAGTGCTTACCGATCATATGATCAACTCCATAACAGTGGGTACCGCAGTTATCTCAGGTTGGTGATAGCTGCTCTAGCTTTTTCTATTTATGGGACCTTCAGAATACCAACCATGGATGCGATTACGTAGTGACACCAACTAACTGGCCTCCGCATGTAACAGACCTCTTTCTCAACTCATTGTTTTACCGCATCAAGACTACCTCTTTGGTCAGCGCGTTTGCTTTCGCATTCCGCAGGATAGCTCACCTCTGCGTAACCTATCTTAATGTTCTGCAGGTTTACTCACAATAGAACCGTCGTACCTCTCGTTTTTTTATTACACACCAGTGTGATGAACAGTTGACGGAGCGGACCTCATAGTCACGAAGACTTAATGTTCATAGGTGGTAGGCTGCAACCTAAGCGGTGAACCACAAAAGGCCCCGATAGGTCAGGCGCGGTATAGAACCTTTCGTGAATTGCCCCCTTATGTTTTAGTAGGAACGTTAGCTTGCGAAAAACGTATTACCAGGCGTTAAGAGTGGACTGGGCCTCTAATCAAGCTCGCGAGGTACGGAAAGACATTATTTGATTTCAGTGGATCACCACAAATGGTGAGTGCGGCACAAGCTCATGCCAGTCTTCTAAAAGCACTTCGCGCTAAGATCGCGCAACTGACAAGCCAAATCTAGATGCCTCGATCGCCCAGTGGTTGAAAGCACGTTGAACTCTCTGTTGTCAAGCCGCAAGGCGATGTCATCGGAGTCAATAACTGCAAGAGCCAAAAATTGTATCAAACTGGACAACATTCAAATTCATTGTTCACAACAGGGAAATTAGACGTCAAATATAGAACACTGTTTCTTAAGCTTCAGATTTCTAACTGTTCAGACGTGAAACAGTAGGAGATGATCACGATACTAAATGGCAACTTTTCAACTTACCTCATACTCATCCGCTCCAGGTCCATGATCTATTATCTTCTGGAAATGTACGGCTACCATGCAACTACCAGCGTTTGGGATGAGTTCGCTTTGGTGAATGAGTTGACTTAATTTTTTCGACCGAACTTTGGCGGCACGGTAGCCAAAGACGAACAACATTGAATCGATAACATTACTTTTCCCGCTACCGTTAGGTCCTAGAAAAAACTATAAAATATAAAACCGCGTTACCAATTATGCAACTGAAATTCTTATGAAAGGGTCCCATAACCCGAACACCTCCGTATGACTTAAAGTTCTCGGATACGATTTGCGATATCATCAAACGAGGTCCCGTGGCGTCTAACGACTGCACCGGATCTGGTGGTGGTGGAATTTCGATAGGATTACACTTATTAACGATGTTCTCATCGTTTTCAACGTCATCTGCATTATCCGTCTCCATTCAGGAAAAAATTCAAATAACTTGATTTATTTTCAAGGTCACAAAGCAGTTTAGTTTGTTCATTTCACTCTGCACAGGACAATAATGGCCAGGTCAGGTCAGGTCAGGTCAGGTTGCACAGGACTGAATATGGCCACGGC